CTTTTACGCAGGCAGCGGCGTCCATGTCTCATGCAGTCAGTCACTCATGCCTGATGTCTCGCCCGCCTTCTCTGTCACTGTGGCGCGTCAGACCTGCCACGTGTCGCCGCAGCAGCCGTTGACTGCTCCTGTCGTGCTTCTATAGATGGCGCGACAGCGTGAATTAGCCACGCTGTGCAAACAGACGCTTCTAAAAGCGTGAGTTTCGAAAAAAAAAAACAGTGTCGGTTTTAAAAATAGTTTAAAAAATATGTTAAAAATAAAAAAAAAATCCTTGGAGGAAAGGCACGTAAAGCCATGCATCATGCATCACCTAAAGTCCTCCTAAGCAGACGAGACTGACTGGTAGGCCAAAGCAGCAGATAAGCATGCATGCCCTATTTTATACACTACTGCTGATGGCGAGAGGATGCTTGCCTTTCAATGGCACCAACTTTGCGCCCTCGCATGCCAGCCAGCCAGCGAGCCATCAGTCAGTCAGTGCTCGCTCGCCTACTACTCTCACCTTCTTTACGTTTCCGCTAGGGAATGGCGGATGGGCGCAGCAGCAGCATATAGTAGATAGCTCCACCAGCCAGCAGTTTTTCTTTTTAAAAAACAAACCTTTTTTCAGGCAAGTTCCGGCGAGTTTTCAGCGTGCGTCTGTCAGAATATGTTGGTTCGTTGACCTGTTAACTACATGGGTTAATGAGAAAGTGAGTTTGTTCTCGGCATGCGTGGATACTTGATCGAAGGATTTTCACGGGAATTTTGAAGGAACACAATCCATAGGAAAGGAATTGAATATGAGTGTTTGGATCGAAGAGAATACGAAAGGGAATAGTCGATGCACAAAACGTAGGAAATAAATCATCCATCCAAACCTATTGGTTTTTGTTCCTTTACGAAGACCGAGGCAGCTGCACGCATTTTATCGCTGTCTTGTGTGTGCCATCGACCATAATCTAGCTTTTTTCTGACGTTGCTGTAGGTTTGTACTTGAACCACGCACTTTATTCCTACGTTATAAATTCATGTGTTCCAAACATCCTAAATTTTCTGTTCCTGTGTTTTGAAATCTCATAGTTTTTCACTTTTCATCATACCTTATTCCTGCGTTTTTTCTTATTCCTATGTTTTGAATTCGTTCGTTCCAAACATGCCCTCAACCTGGCCAAATCGCAGTGGACGCATGCTGGGAGGAGGAATAATCCATGCATATGCTTTCCCCCTGTGGCTTGCCTTGTGTTGTGACCATTTGATTATCTTCCAACAAGACATAGTAATGAGCTTGCAGGAAAGGAAACCAACACTATTATACTAATATACTCTTACAGATTAGATTATTCCTTCATCATCATCTCCAATCCTGATTCCTGACCCACTGAAAAGACAATCAATAGCCAGCACCAACAACAATTATAGAGATAAATCCAAATCCTCCTCCCAGCTCTCTCTGAAAAACTGATCAAAGGTAACAATTACGCATGGACAGCACAGATCGGCAGTGGATAACACCAGCGCTACTACTATTTTGGATAATGGGAGAGGAATCCTTTCGTCTGAACTTGCCGAAGAAAAAAAGAAGGAAAGAATCCATTCAGTGATGTGCGATGACTGATGAGGTGAACTTCACCAGCTGGGGAAAAAAAAGCTGGCACCGCATTTAGGCGAGGTTCTTTACGTAATTTAGCCCAAAGTGGCAAGGGGAAAGGTAAAGAGCATGGAATCCGACGCATTCTTCCAAGTTCCACCAGCCAGCCCCGGGGTGGAGGAGGAGCACGAGCCCGAGCCCCGTCAGAAAAGCAGCGAAGCACGCGCGGATCGACAGCACAGGCAGGCAGGCATCCGCATCAACGGGAACGGGAGCAGGGCCTCGGCCTCGAGACGTTTACCCGAAAACTGCGTGAAAACAGCTTCTCACGAAATGCTCATGAGCGGTGGCTGACGAGCAGCGTCTTTCCGTGCAGTGCAGTTGAACGCATCGAGCTCACGCACAGTCAGACAGTCTCGTCAAACTGCATGGTGTCAGTGATTCTAATCTTAGGCTGAGAAGCAGGTAATCTAGGTTAACGACGACAGTGATAGATCAGTCTCGTGCAGCAGTAAACCTCACTGACCAATGACCACTGCTGTTGGTTTTGGATTGGCTTTCAGGGCGTCAGTTTTCTTGTGGTTGTACGTGACGAGATGGATGGCAATTGGCAATGGCATGGTGGAAACGAAATGGCACAGCCTGACAGGCCATGAAATGCAACTCCACCATCCACACCGTACCCTCGCTCAAGACACACGGATCGGCGTGTTTGACTTGCTGCTAATCTATCTCATTATCTTCCTGACGGTGGCGGCGGGAGGGGCCCACGAAGTGTGTGCTCGCGTCGCGTGTTGTGTCTGCAGCAGGCTGCGTAAGCGTAAGGTGCTGTGTGCTGACGCATGAGGGCCAAACAGCAGCGGCAGCATGCTCTGCTTGGTAATTTTCAATCCGTTATCACTTTTATCAGACGACACTGGATTAGGACGTCTTCGACCAGAGGATTTTAGTACGAATTCCAGGGAAAGTTTACAGATATCCCATATAAACCCTTGTGTGAATTTTTACTATAAAGGGAGCGTGTGAAATGTTCCCACGTCGCTGGTGGGACACGAAAGAAACTGAAAATGCAGCGAGAATGGAGATGATGGGTATGTGGTGGATTCAGATTGCTTCCATGGTTTTCATGCACACATCAGGGAAGAGACAACAATTACTGTTTTCATTCTCATGCGTTATCAATGCCTTCTCTTTTTGACCTTGTTTTGCTTGAACAAGGCAAGATATTGTGGTGGCACTTGATGCGCGTCCTCATTTTAAGCATCGCCACCAGAATATAAGCGCCTGTCAACCAACCATGGTCCATGGCCCTGGGGCAAAATAGGACGCCAAACCCACACAGCACAGGCACAGCTTGATTAGTTGCCAGGAAATGACCTTTACCGGGTGACAAGTTGATGCATAATAAATGGTAGGAGTAGTAGCTTGATCTGAAACAACTCGCTTTCATATTTTTCTCATGAGCTGACAAATGTGCAGCAACTGCACACAATCCAACTAACATATCTCATGACACGGATTACACCCAGAGATATTCAATGCAAAGGATGCTACTAGGCAAGAAAAAGATATTCAATGCAATGGAAGGGGATGAGCTTGAGCATGACTGCGTGAGCAATTGAGCATAGCCATCCATCCTGATGCGGTGCTGTGCAGAGCGCAGTGCATGCAGAGAGAGGCCTTGCTGTCGTAGTGTTGTGTTGCTGCTGCAAGGCTCCAAAAGGGTCAGGGGCAAGGGAGGTCATGTGAAAGACAACACGATACAGGCCTCTAATCTTTGACCCTTCTTAAAGGGGCTACTCCTGCTAATTCTAATGGGGCGCGTTTAAAGGTTTTTAGTGGGGGAGGAAAGGGATCCTTGCAAAGACCCAGAGGAGAGAGAGTGTGGGGGGAAGAGGAGAAATAAATAAACCCGAATTCAGCCAAACCTCTCTCTCTCTCCCACCTCCCTTACATCCATCCTCTCATCACCACCCCACCCTCTCCTCCTCCTCCCTGTCTTTCTCCCTCTCCCTCTCCCTCCCTCTTGACAAATTTTCCTCCACCCATTCCCTTCCTCCTCTTCTTCTCCACCCACTCCACCGATCCCCTTCTTTCTCTCTGAATTCTCTCTCGGCTTGCCCACCGTTCCATCTGTCTGCTGCCTCTCTCTTGCTGTCTTTTGCAGTCAATCGGTTCTTGTTTCCTCCGTCTGCTGGGCTGATTCTCTGTCTCTTCCTCTCTGTGGAGAGGATCGAGAAACCGGAGAGAGGAAAGAAGAGGACTCAGAACGAGCCTGTTCTTTTGCCTAGATTGCGGTTCTTGCGAGTTGTTCAGAAACTCTGGGCCACTTTCTGGTACGGTTTGTTGCATCTCTCTGTTAAACTGTTCCTTTTTTTTTGTATATTCTAGTCTTATCTCTTGATTTTGCATGGCGAAACAATCCCTTTCTCTTGTTTCAGTCCATGATTCCTTCGCAGATATGTGTTTTTCTTCGCTGATTCCTGCATGTTTCAATCCACAGTAGTTGTCCAAGGTGCGGCCTGGATATGGTTCTCGTTAAACAGTCAACAATTCTTGTTTTTTCAGAAGCAAAATTCTCAACTTCCATGTTTGAACAAAAAAAAAAAAAATCGTTTGCTCGCGATACAGAGATAGATGGATGTATTGGGCGTTCTTGGTTCAGTGAAAAATCTCTATCTGCTCCCATATTTCAGTTTCGTGATCGCAGAGGGAATCGATCCTTCTCTTTGAAACCGTGGATGGCTACCTCCACCTTTTCCCTTTATTTTTCCTTCTTTTACTGCGTCCTTTTGCAAACCGATAGGGAAGGGAAATAAATGCAAAAGAAAATTATTGTATATTTTGAGCGAGCGTCCACAGAAGCAATGGGCCCCATCCTGCATGCGGTCCATCTGTTTAGGTCGCATGCATTGTACATTGACCGTGCTTTGCTTTCACCCATTAAAATGCATGCATCACCACAGCTTTTTGCTCGCAACAGCAAACCCAAACCATCAAGTTTGGTGCACGCGTACGCCACACCAAATGCGGCTCATGCCAAGATTGCTACAGTCAGATTAGTTGCTGTCTACTACAGTAATGTGTGAGACCAAAACAGGTGCAGCTACTTCCATAGAGTAACAACCGAAAGTAGAACTACAATATTTTGGAGTGCAGACAATAGTTTCTTGTATGTAAAGTTGACATATTTTGGTGGCAAATATTGAAGGAATAGCCTAGATAAACCGTAGCCTTGTTTTGTATCGCTTTCATTTCAGCCTGTTTTCTTGTGTTCCAATAAAGTTGGAGCACAATTCTGTTGCCCAAATGTTTGATGTGTTACATCCAATTGACAGGTCCTTTAAACTACTGGAAAGAGGAACCATCAGAGATGCTAAGCCAACAGACCAATTGATATCTCGTTGCCCTAGTTTGGATCATCACAATGCAAGGGCAGAGGAATTCTATGGAGCATTTTGCTGATGTTTTTGGATTCGACATTGCATCTAGTTCAGGCAACCCTGTGATGGATCAGCAGTCATATTGGAATAATGTTCTTGGATCAGTAGAATCACAGAATCTTCAAGGTTATCAGATGAATCACAGTGATGCCGCCATGCCATATGGAAATGAGGCACAGCAAGATGGTACATTTCTTGGTTTCTGGGAATCAGGCGAAGCAAGTTCAAGTGGCAGCGCACTAAACTATGGCAGCTCCAACAATGTCAAAACAGAGCATCTTAACATTGACGGTGGACTGAGGATTGGTGAAAGGCGAATGGTAGCTGATAATGGCATTTCTCTGGATGTGGATATCAACCTTAACGCCAACGTTAACGATCTATGTGGTCAAAGTTCAAATGTTAACTGTACCTCTCAAGGTCCTGAGCAGTATGGTGGCAGTGATCGTAATGGTATAAATTCTCAGCCAACTGACCTGAGATTACACCCATACAGGACATTCCTGCTAGGTGCAGAGCAAGCAGACTCTTTTACTTTGAATCCTAGTGAAAACCCTTTGGGTGATTTTTCATTAATGCAAGAAAGCATTGATCAAAGACCAGGTAGTTCCCTGGATGGTCGCCGGCTAGCGTGCAAGAGAAAAAATATTGAAGGAGCCAATGGCCAGAGTTCAGCAGGTGCTAGCACAAGTTTTTCCCACAGGAACGATAATGCTTTCCATAACATTGATTCTTCAAGTTTCAATCCTGCACCGATCAGAAATTCGTCCTCTCCCAATTGCTTGCCAGTTCCAAGTTCTATTGAGGATCAACTCCCGCGATATGGAACTAATGCAGGGATCTCATCCGGTACCTATGACCTTAATGGAGGGGTCAACAATGCTGGGAATTCGCAGAGAAGTTTCCGGGCAAGAACTACCACGTCTCAACAGATTGCTCCCTGTAGTGTATGGCCTTCTTCAAATGCTATAAGACTTTCTAATTCATGGAATCACCAGCCACCTCATTTTCAAAGTGCATCTGATGATCCCCAGGAGGTTATTCCTGTGGTCAGCAGCCTCAACTTGCAATACCAGCATCTAGTGAATGTTCCTGGTGTGCCACAGGCTGCAAACCGTTTCACTGGCCATGGAGCTTCATCATCGAGAGCTGGCAGTTTGGAGAACAGAATTCTTGGTAGTGAAGATGTTCCTAGGAGGAATGTGGTGCCTACCAACTACTCTGATTTAGTTCCCCCATCTGCTGTAGACCTGAGACGTTTGGTGCCAGAACCATCTAATTGGAGCTCTGATGTCCGAGGCACTGCAATATCAGGAAGTATTCCTCCTGTATCAAGAGCTAATAACAGTTCAACAGTCAATCCACCAGCAGGATTCAATCACCAAAACCTCACCAGACGCCATCCTCGAAACTTGTCAGAGGTAAATTTTTCTCCATTTTTCGCATTTTCTTTCTCCATTTTTTGCATTTTGGTTTTCAGTTTGATTGCTCATCTTGTCAGACGGCATACCTGAAATTTGATTGATCATCTTCTCGATTTGATCTTTTATTTTCTTATAGGAGATTGGTCGTCTATCTGGAGCACTCCGCGGCCATCAACCCCCACGCCTAAGGTCAGGGTTTCTGTTGGAGCGCCAGGGCGATGGTGTTTGGGGTGTTCCTTTATCAACAAGGGGTAGGGAAGGAAGAAGGTTAATGGAGGTACGTTGATCGGTTTCTGTTCGTTCTCCTGAAGAACAAAAGACAAAAATGGTTTTGTAGCATCCACTTGGAAACATAAAAGTGCATCATTATCAGGCGTTTTTGCGTGGCAGCAAAGATTACACTAAATCAACCTCGACTTTATAAATTTCTGTTTGTAAAGCCCCCCCTTGTTTTCAGCTTTCCTTGTCATCTTTGTGTTTATCTATCTAAGCAAGCCACCCTATCTATTTCCAGACAAAATTGGTAGAAGCTGCTCTACTCAAAATCTAAATGCTTTATTTCATTTTGTTTGTGCACTTCATGATCCCTAATTCGATCTAGCATGCTTCTTCATACCCCTGCAACTCTTGAAATACTGAAACATTTTTTTATCATTTATTTCCAGATATTATCACACTGCCAGTTGATGCACATTTTAGTTTGCTTTTCTTAGACATTTTGACTAGTATAGTTATAGAGAAGGGGGAAAAGTTCATTTTTTACAGCCACAATAAACTTTAACCTTAATGATCTACTTCACCTTATGTTTTTATGCCAAATACTGTGATATGTTATCCCTTTTCTTCCATAGCCTTGCTTGTTCTTGCATGCATTAACTACTGTGACAATCATGTAAAGGTGCATGGTTCATTGTCTGATGGCAATCCATAGAGTTCTAACTTCTTTACATGTCAACAGATCCGGAATGCACTTGAAATGATTCATAGAGGGGAGAATGTAAGGCTCGAGGTAAGTACCAGCAATATCCATCTGAGTTTCTTAACTCTATTTGCTACCATTATTTCGGTATTCCACCAAAATAACTGTTGATGGTCACTAAACACCCATGACCATCAACATAACAACAACAAAAAGTAAAATTGTTCTTTGTGGATTTTTATTTTATGCTGGACGTGGTTAACTTATGAGTTATTACCTGCTGGGCTGCTGGTTAGTAGGTCAGTAGCAGCAATATCCATGCTGGACGAGTTAAGTTTGCAGCCTGTGCTACCCTGTAATTTAAGAAAATAGCGTAGTAAAAAAAAAATACCTGACTATAATCATACCATAACTACAGTGGACAACTAAGGACTGATATCAACTACCCCGTAACTTCAAGCATATAAGGGAAACATTACAAGTGAAAATGAATTACCTCCTCTGATCTACTGTAGTCCAAAACCACTACACATTTATTAAGTGGCAGAAGGTTTTATTCTTAATTTGCTTAAAATAAACAAGTCAAGATGTAGCGATCTGAAATGTCATGAGAGTTGTCCTAAGATATGACGTTCTTGGATGCCATGAGGAATTGAGGATACAGCATGAACAAGTAATCAAACTGAATGAATTCAAAAGTTATTTTGGATGCCCTTAAGTTTTTGCCTGTTAGTTATTGAGGAATTTCCTTCTTACTTCAAACATATTCTTGAACAGTCTATCTTCTATGGCGGCGTTGACATTCATGACAGACACAGGGACATGCGCCTTGACATTGACAATATGTCCTATGAGGTTTGTTTTCCTTAGTGAAGCGCTACCTTCATCATTGCCAATCTATAATCTAATCCAAGATGGTTGCCCTACTTTCAGGAGCTATTAGCACTTGAGGAAAGAATAGGAAATGTTAGCACTGGCCTCAGCGAGGAAGATGTGATAAAGTTGCTGAAACAAAGGAGATTTTCATCTTGGAGACTAAAAGCATCTTTGGACCCTGAACCGTGTTGTATCTGCCAGGTATTTCATATACTCCCGAGCTTCTCGGAACTCATGCCTTGTTCTGTTGGCCACAGTTATTCCAGTCAGATACACCAATCACATTGAATGATTGAAGTACATGCTTTTTGTTGTCGCAAAATATGTTGATTGAACATTCAGTTGGGTCACTTAAGAGTTAAGACATCACGTGTATAAAGAAATGCAGCATTTAACTAAATTAGCGCACAAAGATCAGAAGGGCGAGTTAAGTCTAAAGTTTCTAAGGCGTTTTATTTGAGGACAGGAGGGGCTTGGAGCCCCTACTGTATTTGAATTAAATGAAAAAAGACAGACGAAACAAGGTAGCAAGGTACAGCTTACAAGTTCAGAAAACAAATAAGTAAAGTTGCTAAGCTTGTCTATATATACCATCTAGGTCTCCAAAATAGAATCCTCTTCTGGTAGGTCTGTGGATTTCTATTAATTAACGGGAACTTGTGGAATTAAGAATCTCTGTCTTATCCCTTGAGAGTTGAGATTGCCATGCTCTTGATCTTGATTTCTAGTGTCTCAGGAAAGAATTACAATCTGACTCTAGCATGACTTCCATTGGACCACCCAAAAGACTACTAGGTGATATAGCATAGAAGATTAGGTATAATGCGTGGGATTATTTGCATTGAACCTCTCAAGCGAAATACTTACTGCGATTTGGAGGGCAAAATGCATCTCTGGATACATATGTCAGTATGAGATTACAATATCCTAACTGCCAAATATACTCAACGCTAGGTTCTAGGTCTGACTTGTATTCACACCCAGCTGTTAACTTTTTTTGAAGGGGGACTAATCAACATTAACATCAACTCTGGCAACAAAACTTGTAGCAGAAAACTGTCTATTTATCAGGATTTCCAGCATTGTTGTAAATCAGTATCTGTTATCTGGTGTGAATTTGTTTGCTTTCGCCTGTAAACATGCTCCCTGCGTCACCTAGCGTTGTTGTAAAGCAATGAAATACTATTACTTAGTAGTTGAACCAGGCTAATACAGTATATACTTACGTTCTTTCTCCCTATCCAGGAGGAGTATGTTGATGGAGACGATCTTGGGAGGCTGGACTGCGGGCACGACTTCCATGCTGGCTGCATCAAGCAATGGCTGGTGGTGAAGAACGTGTGCCCCATCTGCAAAAACACCGCATTGAAGACCTGAAACCGAACAAAGGCTCGTCAGAGACACCCATGTTCTATGTTCTTCATTCGATCGATCGCAAAATCATTTACCGATTCATATTACTATGCTTTTTTGGTTGGGAAAATTTTGCCATTCACCTGCAATTGGGAAAGGAAAAAAAGAGAGGATGCGGTCCCTGTAAACTGCTGCTGCAGTAAATAATCCCTGGAATATGTCTCCCTGCATTTAACCAAATATTTATGGCTGTTATAATGGATGTCGTATCGTAGGATTAAAACCTGAAAGAGAGCTTGTTGCCACCATCTGCCATAATTCTGCTTGATCTGGATTTCACGTGCTGCCGTGCTGGTGCGGTGCGGACGCTCACAACGCCTGTTTTTTCCAGGAAGCATGCTGCCCTGCGTTCAGATTCATCTTGTTTGAGAACTCAACGAAACCAGGCACGGCGTTGGCGGCCGCGGGGGTGGGTTTGGATGGATCCCATGCGTTCCTTGCACTTGCATCTGTTTCTTGTCGGCGTCAGGCGCCGGCCGTGCCGCGAGAAACCGGCACGCAACTCCTCGGCCGGCGGCGGGGCGCCGTCGCTGTCCACCCATGAATCCACCCAGGCGAGTCTTCGGTCTTCTCGTCCGGTGGCTGGCTGACAAGCTTTGCGTGAGGGCTTCCGTCGTGGCCACACGCTGGCGGTGCAATCGACGAACACCGTGTCAACCAACGGGCACGGCTCGATCTGATGGGTACCCGCAGCACCCGACGCCGGACAACTGGCAGGGGAGCAGCCAGTGATGGCTCGTTTCAGAGTCGAGTCGCTGTACATTCAGCGGCAGGGTACCGTCTCCGTTCGTATCGTATCGTCTCCCTGCGTGCAATGTGTGGCTGCCTTTAGAGCTGCAAGAATCTGAATCTTCTAGAATTTTCTGAAGATTGATGACTTGTATTCAGAGTTCTGAAAACTTAGTTCGGTTTCTGAAAAACAAAAATCTAAGGGGTTGTTTGGTAGAACTCCACGCAGCTTTAGATTAAAAAACAACTCCGCCCCTAATTTTTCTGGCCAGCCCTAGCTCCGCGAACTCTAGATCCGCAAAAAACGTAGATCTAGCTCCTATATCCACCAGATCCATTAAGCACCTCAAGAGGTGCTCTGAAAACTCATGGATGTGTGGAGTTGATTAGAGTTACCTACCATGCCTAAGATTAGTGAAAAATGAAGGGTTCGTTCTTTTTTTTCTCGCGTTTCTTTCTCTGTTGCCCCAATCCCCGCGCTTCTTCTTCTCTCGTAGGTGCGGCAGGGACGCCACGGCCACCTGGCCGGCGCGCGTCCTGCAGGGAGCCCTACCCCGCTGAACTACCGCCCCGGAGGCCAGGCATGGCCGCGACCACCATGGTCGGTGTGCGATGCGTAGCCGTGGCCGCACCTCCGGCCTGCAGTCGGTGCCCCTCCGGCCGGCGGCCCCTCCCCAGCGCCCCTCCCGCGCGGCGGTCCGTCCCTAGCGCTCCTCCTTCCCGACCGTGCACGGCCCCGCCCAGTGCCGCACGGGAATGCCTGCCATGACCGTATCGAGAGAGAGAGAGAGAGAGAAGAAGATGCAAATTTTAATCCCTAATTAGGTTTCAATAATTAAATATAAGTCGATCGAAGAGTTGGAGCTCTATGGGAGATCAGCTGCTCTACGGTGGAGCACTTGCTATCGAGCTGTGTTTTCACAGCTGGAGCCTTGGAAAATGCCCTAGAGCTTATCAATCGATGGGATAGTTAAATGGGCTCGGTCTGTTTTATACCGGGCTTTGGCTCCTCCTGAGAACCCAAACAGGGCCAGTTCTGTCGGCAACCGTCCGATGGATATCCGACGGCAAAGAGATCCGTCGCAACACGACGGCGGATTTTGTGTGCTGCTGACGGGATGAGGTGGCTGCTGCTGGGTGCTGAGGCCGTTTGGACGCAACGCGGAAACCCGTTGGTTGACACGGTGGCGTGCTGGTCTCCTGGATGCCGTGTTGGGTGATTGGGGTTGGGTGAGGGCTGCCAAAGTGGCCGAAAAGGGCTGCGATGCCCACAAACGGCAGCTGCAGGTCGCCTTCCGGCATGCATTTCCCTTTTTCACTCGGCGCAAGTGCAAGAATAGCTAGACTGGTCGTCCGGATGGTGGAGCTCTGTCTGTCTGGACAGCTATATGAGGGGTGGAAAAATAATATCCGATGGAGGAACGAATCATACCGACGTTCTGAATTTAGAATCATCAACTCGAACCGAAATTCATGTATACTTTAATCTCCTCTTTTTATATCTCTCTCTCGAAAGAGGCAGAATTTTTGCGGTCCAGGATGCATGGTTGCACTTGCACGGGCTAGGAGCAGAGAGGCCGGGGCCTACGTGATGTGGGTACACGACCTAAGAAATGGCAGGTCACTGTAGCCCCCCGACACTATCTATGAGAAGTAGCAGAGCCGTGGGGGGCACACGCAGGCAGGTCCGTCTCGCTGTCGTCCCTGCCGCTCCGGACCATTACTGCCGCCATGTGCCGATGCATGCATCGCACGCGCTAGCCTCCCCGCCTTCTTCGCCGTCCAGACCCCTGGAAATCACGCACGCACGACAGTTGGTCAGCGCTGCCAGTTGCCACCGGCGGGCGGGGGCAGTGCAGAGCGTCCTATCCACATCCATCCTCTGATGCACGGCGAGATGCTCCCAGGCCCCAGAGCATGGGCTGCCTAAAAACCATGACGAGGGCGGGATGGGGTTCCTTTGAATACCGCCGCCTGCAGCCTGCAGCCTGCTCGTGCTCGTGCTCGGTGGCGGCGGCTGGCGGCGTCGTTGAGCTGCCAAAGCTAGGGCTTGTTTAGATTACAAATTTTTGCAATCTGGATATTGTAGCACGTTTTGTATTTGAATTTGATAAACTTTATCCGATCATGGACTAACTAAACTCAAAAGATTCGTCTCGTGATTTACAACCAAACTGTGCAATTAGTTATTTTTTTTACCTACATTTAATGCTCCATACATGTGTTTAAAAATTAATGTGATGGAAAAAGAGTGAAAAAACTTAAATTTGGAGGTGATCTAAACAAGACCCTGCACAGAAAGCTGGTGGTACTACTTGTCATGCGCACAGCGCGACTGCGATCACGCATGATGACGTGCGCCTGCCTTCGATCCGTTGCCTTTGCCATCACTTCCCTTTCCGATGTGGTGGCCTAACACCCACCCAACCCAAGCCGGAACCCAACGCGACGACGCATCACGCAACCGATCGATCGCCCCATGCAACGCAACGCGACGCGAGCATCACCGGCAGGCACTGCTCACCCGCCCTGATGCTGATCCTCGGCGACTACTATCCGATCGCCGCTTCGTCATCATGGTTAGTTAGCGATTGTTGGCCATGATGGGTTGGCAGGCTGATCCACCCATGATTGCATCCATGCAAGTAATCCTCAGCTAGCTGGCTGCCGGCCGGCGCACGAAGCCACGAGGTGATGAGGAAGCGCGCGGGCGAGTGCGGCGGGCGGGCCGGCTGACCTAACGCGGATTTGCGCACCAGCCGACAGCTAACTGCGTTGGTAAGCAAAGGCGCGGGGCGGACGACGGACGCGGGAGCGATGCGCCGATGCCGATGAGAACGAACGAACGAAACAACTGGATCATGTCAAGCGGGCGGCGGGGGGATTAGTTTATGATGGAATACAGGCGGCAGCGCGCGCGGCAGTAAAGAAAAACTAAACGATGTCAAGCAAGGGGGCAGGCGGATTCCATTTGAATAATCATAGTAGTGGAGCGCTAATCGCTGCTCCTTATCTACTCGGAAACAAGCAAAAGAGATAGACACAGAGGGAGAGAGACGAGGATGATGACTTGTTTTTCTTATCAATCACTGTTACAGCTGCCTTTTTGACATTTGGAAAGACCGCCACTTGTGGCCGCCGCCTCCGTCTCCGCCTGCCCGCCCCCGCCCCAGCTGCGTGCTCTCCCCCTCGTGCTTATCCACAACGTATCGAGAACCCTCGCCGCCCGCCCGCCGACCATCCAGTCCAGTCACCGAGGACGACGGAGACGGAGATGGACGGGTTGGCAGGCGGTCGGGTCAGCTGGATCGTCGTACGTACGTGGACATGGGGATGTGCTGGGCGTCGTCGCGGGAATGGGAACAACCGATAACGGACGTCGTCGTCGTTGAGCCTTGCGGTGTCGCTCGCTCGCTTGTCACTCGGCGTCGGAGCTCTCGGGGCTCGGCGCCCGGTTTAGATCCGGGTTCTTCACGCGCCCGCTCCACGCCGGCCGCTGCGGCGGCTGCGGCTTCTGCTCCTGCTCCTCCTCCGCGTGCGCGTGGACACGCAGCTGCGGCAGGTGGTGGTGGTGGTGCCTCTGGCGCTCGCGGTGGTGCGGCGGCGGGACCATCATGCCGGTCTGGAGCGCGTCCACGCGGGACCCCACCTCGATAGCCTTCTTCCGGATGGACGCCGCGGACAGCGTGCCTGCGCCGCAGCCGTCGGCGGGTCGGGCTCCCCGTCCCCGCCACCACCCTCCGACAGCGCCAGCGAGGGGATCTCGTCGGGGAAGTTGAGCCGCGCCGACCGGCCGCGCAGGTAGAACACGGCCGTGTCGTAGGCGCGCGCCGCCGCCACGGCCGTGGCGTAGGACCCCAGCCAGATGCGCGTGCGCTTGTGCGGCTCCCGGATCTCCGCCACCCACTTGCCCCACTTCCGCATGCGCACGCCGCGGTACTGCCGCCGCGGCTGCATCTGCTGGTGGTGGTGCTGGTGCGCCGGCCCCAGCTGCGGCGCCGCCGCTCCCGCCGCCGCCATCGCCGCCTGCTCCGCCTCCATCTTCACCGCGGCGGCAGCGGCGGCCGCCAGAGGAGCCATGGCTGCGGCTGCGGCTGCTGCTGCCGCGGCCGCCGCCGACGCCGCCGACTCCTCGCTGGAAGACCGGTACTCGCCCTGCATGAGCAACAGCCTTTGCTGGCTGCTGCTGCCGCTGCCGCTTCTCTCTCGCTCGCTCTCGCCTGCGGCCCTGCTGAGGGTTGCTGAGGGAGGGTTGTGCAGGCAGGCAGGTGCAGCAGCAGCCGCTTTTGGCGTTGGCGTGGTTTTCTTGGCTTCCTTCCCTCCCTCTGGCTATCTATTTGCTGGGCGAGTATTTGTATTGGGATTTTGTGGGTGGAGGGGATACTCGCTCCGCCTCCGAATAAATTAATTCCTAAACTCAGTACTAGTGAAACTTTTTAATTAACTTTATAGAAAAAATAATAACATATATGATATAAAATAAGCATCTTATAAAAAATATAATTTATGATAGATCTAATGATACTTATTTGATATTATAGATTTTAACGTTTTTTCTAAAAATTCGGTTAAAATTTTAAAAGTTTGATTTAAGACAATTTTATAAATCTATTTAGGGGCAGTTCGGCTGGTGTGAAAACCAGTCGTGGCCAGATTTCACTGTGCACGGACTAGTTTTCACTGTTCACTATCTCACAAATTCCTCTAAATTTCTCCAAATTTCTCCGAACGAACAGGTCATGTTAGAAACAGAGCGAGGATAAGATTAGAGCTTCGTTGGGATAATCATAAAATAGCGCGGGGGAAGGGAAGAAGCCGTCGACGGCACACTGTACTGTGCTGTTTGGGAGGGATCGAGCCCTCACCGGCACACAAATTGTTAGGTCCACCGGCTAAGTTGCATCCGGACGTCGGACAGCTCCATGCCATGCGATGCTTGCTATCTATCCGGACCGGAATGGGCGACACCTGACCTGGGCAAACAATTTTATGTTGTGCTATATATTAATACTAGGTGCACTTATTAGGGAAATATACTTGTCAATATATCATAGGCCACTGTTGTGCAGCCAGTATCAAAATCATGGCTTCAAACTATGTTCTCGCTTATTCGCCATTTTTGCTTAAACTTATCAGTCCAGCTTATCAACTATGGTATAATGTTTTTCTCTCACAACAAATCAGCATTAGCCGGTTTATGAGCCACACAAAATAGCTCCAAAATCTAGAAGAGCTGTGCACGGAAGCATCCCCACATGGACATGCAAAAGCTTACGTGCTGGGCACACGCTTTAATTGCGTCATTATTGGAGTATGCAAACAACGACAATTTATATAGACAAAAAAGTCAAGATAATGTGAAGAATTATTTCCCGTGGATATGAGCATCTTGTTGTTGTCACAATCCACCCGCTCTTTGTTCATCACCAACCCTCGTGCACACCTGTCGCCTTATCGTAACGCCGCCGACCTCACTCAAGACTTCCAGCCTGTTCGCTTCTTGGTTTTAGTCAGAGTTTATCAGTCAATCAACAGTATTTTTCTCTCACAACAAATCAGCACCAGTCGGATTTATTAGCCCAGAAACCAACCAGCGAACGTGCCGTTTGACACCGCGCGCCTACCACCGGTAAAACTCGATTCAACTGCGCGTGCTTGCCACCTAGTTTAACACTAGCTCCCAAGACAAAATGCGTGCCGGATTGACCTACGTGCGTTTGGCTGTTGGAAGAAGGAATGTCGTCTGCTGGGCGATATTTCGATGATCGATCTCGGTCGGTTGAGAGGAGAGGCTATCCGGACTCCGGAGCCGTCAGTTCACACACCATACAGATTAAAACCTGATGGATGATGTATGGTTGTTTCGCTGTTTGAAACTTTGGTTTGAAGCTATGCAGTCCGCAGCCAATACTTTATGCGTGCGCTCCTAATCACAACATGAGACTCTCCCGATAATTGCTTTCTTTTTAGGTGGGCAAATGAGGCGCCAGCGGGCAGCCGCCGTCCGCCGACCCGCGCGCCGCTCGCGTGCATAATTGCTGCGGGAATAGCTGGCCCGGCTTTCCTGCCGCGACCGCGAATCCAAACCCAAATCAGGCCCGTTTAGTTCCAGGAAATTTGAGAATTTGGCTATCGTAGTACTTTCGTTTTTATTTGATAATTAGTGTTCAATTATGAACTAATTAGGCTCAAAACATTCGTCTCGCGATTTCCTACCAAACTGTGTAATTAGTTTTTTTCTATCTATATTTAATGCTCCATACACGTATCGTAAAATTCGATATGATGACTACTATAGCACTTTTTAAGAAAACTTTTTGAACAAATCTAATCAGCGGGCGGGGCGAGCTGGACTGGACCGCCGGGGACGTACCAGACCGGACCTGCTCTCGAGACGTCAAGGCATCGTGGTCCCCGCGCGGGGCTTCGAGCTTGTCCAGCCAGCCATCCGGCCGGCCGCCCGGGCAGCTGCTGCGAATGCTGGTGTAGCCTGCTAGGCGCCGGCCGGATGATCCACCGGTCAGAGGCTGAGGGCAGTGGTAATAGGATCTCCATTCCAAAGTGTATATGCGACTCCTGTGTTCAGGTCGAGGAAAAAGCCAGCGGGTACCATGCGTGCCTTTCCGTTGCGGGTTTGCCGTGGCGGACGCCAGCAGCACGCGCGGAAATAGACACCTCTCGCCTCTGCGCACAGCCTTCTTTCTTGGTCTTTTATATATATATATATATATATATATATATATATATATATATATATATATATATATATATATATATATATATGCGGAATCTAGTATATAGTTAGGAGCCATTCGGTTGATTTATAAGCCATATTTTTTTCAATCAACAAATAGTATTTTTCTTTCACAACAAATCAGTCAACGATACTTTCAGTCATAACTTATCAACCAAGTAAACAGGCACTAGCCGGTGATACTCTGCCCTTAAGCAATCTGTGCGGATCCTGGCTTTACGACAGGATAAAGACCGACGTGTCTGGACGAGCTATGCTGATGGTCCTACATGTAAGAGGGCCTAGTTTAAATACATGAAAAAAATCTGATACAATATTTTACTATTCTTATTCCTGTATTGCAAATTCTAACGTTCCAAACACCCATCTGTGTTATTTCATTCCTCTTAAATTGCTATGTTTTATTTCATTCCTCAGTTTTTTTCTTTGTTCCAAATAGACCCTAATTCTTAGCCAAGTCGTTGTTAGTTTGTTAGCCAGGTACAATTAGATAACAAGGACTAATAGTTCTTCAATGCTAGGCATATATTCACTTTTTAGCTTATGTTCTAAACATTGATGGGCTAATAGTTAGATAGGGAATTTTTAGATAGCTAATTCTTATCCCCGGCAATCCTTGGACTTGTCTCAACGGGAACGCCAGGCAAACAAACCTCAGGAGAGAATCTTGTGTCTCCCTTCCCATGTGGTTTGCATCCCACTATACTAGCTCTTTACAAGTATTATCTTTCGCTAGTGTAGTTACTTGTTCTAGCATAAGTTTTTTGCTTGCTAGTTGTTTTAGTTTTTCAGGTTGTTTCAGCATGCTTACTAGAATTGTGTATGAGCTCTCTTGTTAGTCACCTAGTTGTCGCTTCACTTATCTTGTGCTAGGGTGATAGTGTTGTAGTAGTAGGGGTGAAGTCATTATTTAGTCGTTAATTCGATTCCCCATTTATTTCGGCTAGAAATCACAATTGGCTTTTGAAATGACTATTGACCCCCCACCCCCCATCCACACACCCCTAGTCGACCTTGGCCTCCTAGATAAAACACCAACGAGGGATTATGCATGGTACACCGCAACCAACGCATTGACGGGGCTACAAGCGCCCACGTTGTACCAAGTTGGGCCCACTATAAGGAAATGCCACCTAGCCAAAATGCAAAACCAACAATTTGTCTTAGCATGTTAGAGCCTAAACCGACACCGTTTCTAAGATGCATAAACAATTTCTTCGAGTTTCCTTCTCTTTCTTCATTTACTTTCATGCAACATCAGCATTTTTGCCCACGTGTCAAGCTAGTTAATGCTATAGAAATGAAGTACTATTTCATGTTGGGATTGCCGATATGCATATGAAACATGTTCTAATTGTTTATGTTAGGACTACCCTTATACATGTAAAATATGTTTTGATGCTCCATTTTATAGAATGTCTTAGGCTTTGATTAGGTTGCGTTGTAAGTGGAAACATAAGGTGTCACGTGATTAAACGAATAAATAAAATGAGTTATGTAGTTGGCACATATTATAGTCCATTCGTTACATAGTATATGTGATTCTGAATTTGCCCAAAGTCATATTTATTAAATTGGACAAATTCTATCTAGAAGAATGCTAAGCTTTGTGATATCAGATGAGCATCATTAAATTCACTATAAATATACTCCCTCTGTCCAGAAGTGATATACATATTTGACCATAAGAAAAGTTGTACAAAATAGATTTTGACATCTAAGCTCTCATAGTATGTACATAATTGCTAAAGAATCAATACCATCTTAGAGCTACTTTGAACACAAATCTATTGATGCAAGTTTCATGCCCTATATTTGCACATAACCTAACTAATTGTTGGTCAAACTTGTAAAATTTGACTTTTTCTTTAGTAAAATTTTCCTACCATTTCTAGATGGAGGGAGTATTTACATACTTTACTTTTTTATTTATGTGATAGATGTTAGCAAACTCAAAATTTGTTATATTTTGATACATAGGTAGTAATATATAAGAAACATGCAAGTATATATACATCCGCGTAAGTTCATAATGTCCTTGTTATACGTTCCTACACTTTCATATTGATCAAACCAAAATCTTTAGCCATAAGGACATTTAACATTAGCATGCTTATTTCTTAATGACGATGTACTCTCTTTTTTTTCTTAGATGGCAGGTAAGGCGCTATTGGAATCGATTCGAGAGCGTTAAATGTTGGTTTGTGCCTTATGGATTGCTAAGCCAAAGGTGCGTGGGTGGGGAGCTAGGTTTTGGTACTGACATGATATAAGCAATTGGGTTGTAAAAACTGACCTGTTTGGATCAACTGGAGCTTAAAAAAAC